CCCCTCTCCCTCTCCCACTCTCTCTCTCTCTCTCTCTATCTCTCCATCTCTCTCTCTCTCTCCCGCTCTCCCTCTCCCTCTATCTCCTCTTTCTCTTCCACTCTCTCTCTCCTCTCTCTCTCTCTCTTTCCTCACAATATTCGACTGCCACAGCGTTGTAGAACTTGTTTCCAGACAGGTCCAGGCGCTCCCCACTCCGCAAGCCCCAGCACCACGGCTCAACCGCCCAAACACCCTCCGGCGGATGACCTCCGACTTCGGCGACTGACCCAGCCGACCGTACCGATCGCGTCCCTCTCCACGCCTCCGCCCGCTTCCCCCACTACAACTGCGTAGTAATTGTAGCGTGTGCAAAGGTCACGTGACATTATTTACTTCTGCGGTTTGTTCGGCTGACAAGAGATGGCACTAGTGGTCTGTGGATCAGAGGCGGGGCTAGGTTCTACGACTTCTTGGGGCAACTTTAGGGCAGAAAAGACGTTTTTTGGCTCCTCATCCCAAAATGCTTCGAACATACAAAAACAAGTTAGATATTCGAAAATCAGAGGACCAAACCGATCGTTTGACGTATCTTGCTCGACTGAGAATTGATCGGTCTTCAAACTACTGAGCAAAAACGAGGTGATTAGTAGCAAGTGCTGGTGACTGTACTTAACGGTTCCTTAAAAATGTCCGCCTCCTTTTCAATGGTTTGCGCGAAGACACAATGCCAGAATCAACCAATCAATACCAGAATTTTAATTGCGCAGCGAGTCAGAGGTGCCCTCAATCCTCAATACACATAGCATAGCACACACTAAATGTAGGCATAGTCACCAGCACTTGCTACCCATCACCCGCGGACGGCGGGGGAGCAAGCTACCACCGCCCCTGAGAGACTAGCGCCGCCATGCGCCAAGGAGTGGAAACACCACGTGACTGAGGCCACGTGAGGGAAGGGTCACGTGATGGAGGGGCGGGGCATAGCAGCTTTTGCGCCCGACACCAACTGAAATGCCGCGCTGTGATGGGGCGCCTTAGCATAAATGAAACCCGGCCGTCAGAATCAGCTGTTCGCCTTATATGGAAAGTGAGCCTGTGCGTCTCACTGCTCTGTGTTGGTTTGAGAGCCACGGCACTATACGAATTGTGGGCCCCTTTGAACGGGTCACCGCCCGAGGCACTGAGGCGACAGCTGTGCCGAGCAAAGTCTAGCCTGGCTGGAGAGGTGGGCCAGGAAAATTGCGATCGAGCAGCCACTGGGACTTGGATTGGTATTTGGTATTATTATCTAACCGCGACAAACGATGTCAGCAGCCTCTATTCGTGTCATAGACAGACAACGTGGGCAGTGCCCAATCAAAGCTACTAAACGAATCAGTTAAGAACTTGGCGAGGTTACCAGACCTCATAAAAAGTGTTTACATTCGTTTTTGATTGGCAAATGGCATACAAGCCCGCTGTGATGGACCAAAAAAAGAAGCTGAACAGTGCATACAATTTCTTAAAAGCTCAACGGCTTAAAAATTTAAAATATAAATGCTAGAACTCAGCCTGCATGTGTAAACTCTGGTCCGGCGCAGGCAGGAAGATTATATTGCCACTTGCAATTCCGTTACTCTGTAATTTAAAAAAAAGAGTTCAGAGAGACTGTGAGAGCAGAAATTGAATGAAAGCCCGACGCCTCGTTGGGGGAGGGAGGGGGGGGGGGGCGAAACGGACCATCTCTCTTTTTCAGTCGATATCTCCTAATCTGTAGCAGATTTCGCCACCAGTCTTTCGTCACCAGCCTAAAAATGATGCCCTTCCGGGCATCATTTTTACATCTTGTGACCACATTTTTCCAAAGTCTTTGAAAGCTTAGCCACAAAGGACGTCAGATTCATGTCATGTTCTGCCATTTTCGACCCAAAAAAGGCTTAGCGGGAAGAACTATCACGCCTACAGCTTTGAAGATAACGAAAAATGTTCAAGATAAAAAAGATGTAAAATAAACAGGGCTACAAAACTCCTAACTCGGATTAAACAAATTGACCATCAAAACTTAAAGTGATTTTTATATCAAACCCCGAAAATACCAGAACTATTGGTCTGCTATACCTACACATGCCAGACGTGATCTCGATGGCTCCATTTTTACCAAAGCTATGGTGAAAAAAAAAATCACTCAACATTTATTACGTAAAATTTCCAAACTCAACTTTTAGCTGTTTTAGACCACACAGAGCAAAAATGACCACCTTTGGATTCCCCGTGATGAGCTGAAGCGAATATCTAGGTACCCATTTTATGCAAAATATCAACTTCGAAAATTAACCTTATTTCACCTGACCTTGACCTGACCTTCACCAGGGTGTAATCTAAGCCGCAGTGTTCTAAAATTGGATATTGGTTGGGTGTGCCGATGAAGAAAAAAAAATCTTAGGATGAAAAAAAAGAAAGTAAATAACTGCAGTATTTTTGCAAAATGGTTTAATGCCAATTTTTATGCTAACTGATAAACCAGGATTTCATGTCAGGATCTTGACAGGGTGTGGAACAAAAGGATGTGGGTGCATCAACTGTCAAGTGACAAGTGAACTGGCTGTTGGGAATACATGAAACTCTTTTCAGAGATGAAGTAAAGTTGGTCATTCATATTTTAGAGATGAAAATATTTTCCCCATTAGGTGTGATTTGCCACCAAAAAGGCTGAAAAATGAAACACTGCTAAGCCGGCCCCAATGGTCGTCTAGCCCACACCATTGAATTTGAAATGCAAAATTGGCTATAAAACGTGTATCACACGACGCTAGTATAGTTGGATTTATATTGTAACCCTTAGTGGCCTGACCTCGGTGGCCTGATCTGGCATCAGTGACCTTTAGCAACATATTGTTAGAAAGCTTTCTACACTGATCATTAACGCGCTTTAAGATGACAGTGAGAGTTTATTCATAAGAAATAAACAATAATATGTTGCATAATCAATGCATTGTTAACAGTGTTTAACTTCCAAAGCACATCCCCCGGTATTCTTGTCTTCTAACACACAATTACAAATATATACGTGCGCGTGACAGCTGCATGACAGAACTCTTAATTTGATATACTTCACAACATCACCCCGTCGCCAAAACACACGTCGCAACAGCATTGAGAACGTTCAACCGTGCGCTACTTTCATCGAGCTTCGAACACCTCACTCCACAAGGAGATTACACTGTAAAAAATGTTAGCACAGTTTGAGTTTTCTGACTCACTTTAATGATGTGTTCAAACAAGTTACCTTGCTAATGAATCCGTATTTATCGAGTAATTTAAACCTTATTGCGAAGCAAAACACGGTTGGTCCAAATCAGGATGAACTAGCTCGGAATCCCCATGTACAATGACACCTTTCGAGTAATCGCCATGTATTCATACCCGCATTTGGCGGACACTGTGTTCCGAAACACGAATACGATTTTGTGGAAGCATCCTTGCGCACGGTTATACCGTGTTAAATGACACGTTGGCGTGTTTTACCCCTCTGCGTCGAGTTTAAAAAGCAGAATGAGGTTATTTGAGCCGCGATCTTGAGAGATATTAACACTGTGGGTTGTTAACTTACTCGGTTCAGTTTCGCGCCAAATGCAGCGCCGCGTGGGCCTCAGTCGCCATCTTTGTGCGATCCAGGGAGCTCGTGTCTGTGCTGCGTGTGACGTCTTGTTGGTAAGTACAAGTGATACTTGCTCCAAATATTTCTTAGCAATAACATCAGTGATATTAAATGCCTTTTAGGCGTGGTTACATAAATATTATCCGTGTAGTGACTAGTGTGGCGTTATGGATGGAAAGGAGGAGCCCTCGGCCCTGATTCTCATTCTGCCACTCCACCACTGGTGGCTATGTGTGCGTTTGTAAACATGCTACTTACATGAATAATTTTGACTGTACCTTTTCAACTTTTGCCATGTATCTACCAGCTAGTTATAATTAGTCTGCCTGGTTTCTCTCTTGCCCTCTCTCTCTCTCTCTCTCTCTCGCTCTCTCTCTCTCTCTCTCTCTCTCTCTCTCTCTCTCTCTCTCTCTCTCTCTCTCTCTCTCTCTCTCTCTCTCTCTCTTTTCCATGGTATCTCCCTCTGCTTTTCTATTTGTCTGTGGATAAGAAGTAGGTAGACATCTGTTTGGCTGCGAACTGACCCAATTTATTTATTTCAGAATACGGCTCAATATGAGCAGAATGAAGGTAAATCTCCAAGTCCCACAGTCAGAGCTCAAGACTGTGAGGCAGGACTTCATTCCTTGATGAATGCGGCTCAACTGCTAACAGGATAAGAAGGTATTGTCCTATTTCTGCCGATTTATTATTTCACATATCACAAATCACAATTAGTGTCTGCATGGGACTCTGTTGTATTTTAGTAGACTAGGGTTTTGCCTTCTATAATATGAAGCCGATATTGAAAATTAAAATCACATGTTTAACATATTTATTATCGTCAAAAGCATAACCGATTACCCAAATCCGACGAGAGCCCGGGCGCCCCGGCGCCCCGCTCTACCCCTGCGCTCTCCCTCTCTCGTCCCGCTCCCAAGCAGTGATGCCATCCACATTTTTGCTCCATCCCAAGATCTCGACCAGAATTTCCCAAGATTCTCGTCTCGAATCCCAAGACTACCCATCGCATATCCTTAGGAGTACCCCAAGTAAATCCATAGCTTATTTTGGACATATTAAGGTGTTTAGTATTCAACTTTCTCTTCTTCGGGTCCACCCTTGTCCTTATTGGCGTATTTACAGCAGCTAATGTACCTAGAGGCCGGGGGGAGGGGAGGGGGAGGGGGTCGATCGGACTCCTACAGCTGATCGGTTCCTGACCGAGTATAAGAGATTTACGAAAAATGAAGATGCTGGCCTAGATGACATGAAGCCGGTGGTATCTGATATTATGGTCAGGTCATTCGTCGACCGTCAATGGTGGGTCAAGGACCCAAAACACAAAGTCCGAATCTGTTACAACTTCTTGGAAACGAAGTCTGTGGCATTTTGGATTTATTTCGAAATTTTTCTCGTGACACATTTGGAGAAGCTAGGGTTAGGTGAGGTCAGGCTGATTTTAAGTGTTTTCCACCACTGAGTTTTGAAATATGGGCTCCAAAACAAGCTCTTAAAAGCTTATGTGAATCCCGAAATCGAAAAGCCTATGCTGTGAATCTGCGTATAAGCCAGTGCCCGCTGGGGCCCATGAATTTTCAAGCCGACGATGGCGAGGGGGTCTAAACGAGGACCTAACTCGTCCCCTGGACTATATAGTTACAAGACGTCAGCAATGTTGTGAAGGTCGCAAGGTTACGCTTTGATTATTTTTGGTCCAGCAGAGCCCAGAGGTCAGGTGACCAGACACTTTTCCGAGGTCAAAGACAAATTGCCCTTATTTTGGTTCGCGGTCAACGGATAAGCCTCCATAGAGCAAAACCGTAAAATGAAACGCTTTGTGCGGGAGCCGCTTTCTGAAATATTTTTTAGGCATAATGTTTGTACAAGCTTTTCATAGCCACCCAACATAACATCATGCCGCTAAACCACCCATCCCCGTTGATCGGTAGTTGGAAATTAAACAAATGAGCGCTAGTTGCGAACAGCGACTGAAAGCTGCTACTATACCTACCAGTAAAACGCCTTTTGGGCGAAGAACGAGCGAGCGAGATAGTGAGCCCTGCAGGCTGCACGTGCGGAAGGGCGAGAGGGTACTTCCAACAGGCTTGCGCAAAGCACCCCTCAAACCGATCGCTAGCGGTGTACTAAATTTGAACGCAATCGGCCTAGCCGTTCCTGAGATCTGGAAGCGGCATTCTGCACGTGCGCACGTGCAAACGGGGTCCAAACTGACTTTTGCACGGCACCCTACTAACTGGTCCCCAACCGTGTACCAAATTTAAGCGCAATCGGCCCAGCCGTTCTCGAGATCTGGAAGCGCCCCCCGCACGTGCGCACGTGCAGTAGCACCTTAACCGCAACACATGGGAATGCATTGCCTGGTGGGTGCCTGCCTGTATGCCAAGTTTCAGCGAAATCGCCCCAGTAATTACCGAGTTATTAAAATGGGAACAAATTTGACACCTCTTATTGTTGTATTTTGCACGTGTACTGGGGGTGACCCACATGCATCGAGAGTATCCTATTTTTGGTAGAAGGGATGCTGCTACCCTACAAAAATTACCGCAAGTCAATCGCCCAAGCGGCTGCTGAGATATGAGCCTCTCAAAATCACTACTTTTGCAGAACAGCTTGAACACCCTTGACTTTTCACGTGGCACGTGCCACGACGGTCACTGAGATGTATCAAAAGTAGTCAATTACGGGGTAGAAGGGATGGGGCTACCCAGCAAAACAAAAAACACATGCCAATCGGTCCAGCGGTTGCTGAGATATAAGCCTCTCAAAAGCGTTACAGGCCGGGCCGGGCCGGGCCGGTTCGGGCCGCTCATACTGAGATTTTTCCGTTATACTGAAAAGACTCGCTTCGCTCGCTGCGCTCGCTCGCTCGTAATAACAAGTAATGGTACAAAAATAATCCTGCGATCTCGGTAAGATAATGCCTGCTAGAAACATCGCAAGCTTCGTCCGTTACTTCAATGTTTGATTAACCGTCCGTGAGGCAAATCCATCCTAAATCTATTATCGACCAAGGAAAAAACATGCGACAGCATGAGAAGACAAAGTGAAATCAGCTTCTGCCAGATCCCAAGATATGCAGTGCAAATCACAAGATCCCAATGTTAATGTTCAAATCCCAAGATCTTGGGACAAATCCCAAGGAATGGCATCGCTGCTCCCAAGGCCATATACCCGCTCCCGTGGTCGGCTGTCCCGCTGTCCAAGCGCCAGGCCGTTGCCATAGCGACGGCTGACGGCCTCCTCCGGCGGACGGATCCGGACGCCGAAACTCAGCCGTCTGTATTTTGATGGTTCTTATAGGTACCTATCTTGTTTTGATGTGCAATGTGCATTGGCTATTGGGTTGATCAGGGTTGATGTTGGACGTTACCGATAATAGGTATAAACTATAGAGTCGATGGTGAACTTACCTAATCGCCAAGTATGTGTTAGTTTATAAACGTTGGCCTTTCGTGTAGAGTATAATGGCAGGGAATGGCCATTTAGAGGTCAAGGGACGGTCACTTCAGTAAAGGGTGCGAGCTTAAAGGTAGTGTGCCACCTTTGAAAGATTTCCCATTTTATTTTTCCTAGGATAAGAAGCTTCTGTTTTTACCTAATATCGCAAAAAAAATAAAAAATGGGCCTGGAATAGTGCCTTTTTCGCCTAAAAGTTTTTCGGTTTTTAGATATGTATAACAACTGTAGTGGGCTCACCTCCAAACAGGCGTCGGGCAACAATCGCGAATGCGGCGCACTTGTGACAATAAGCAAAGGTCATTATAGTGTTACGACCATACGACGTACGGGAATGAGTTATCAGCTGTCTAATCGTAGACAACACAATGTCGAGCCTTAAACTGTAAGCCCGTATTGGTATTCTTTCTTTTATTTGGCTGTCGAACATTATTTATGGTTTGAAATATGATTTTATGTAAAATAGTTGATATGAAAAAGCCGTCTTATAAGTTATGACCCCATTTCACCACACGCAAGTGGCAGAAATGACAATGATCAGCTGACGCATTTTTCTTGGCCGAAGTCAGAGCGCGCGGCCCGACGCACCACGCGTATTTGGAAATTCCGACCTCGACGAGCATCAGAAGCCACCTAACAGGCGTGTTCGAAACCGCAGGAGATGATGATGAACGGGTTTATCGAAACTTGATTGGATGAGCATATCGGTAGTAGCGATTTCAGTGTGTGCATTTATTGTTCATAGTGGTGTGAAATGTGGTTGGGGTACGACCGACAACCCGTCGGGGCGAATTTCGCACTGGGGTACTCAAAATTTGAAGAATTTAAGACGTTTCCATGAGTTTTGAAGGTATGGATAAGTTCTAAAAATCCGGTTCTCCTTATCTGGGCCATTAACTCCATACGGTCCAAGAAAGCTGGCACACTACCTTTAACCCGCGACGCCCGCGACCCGCTGGGGAGTGGGAGGCACCCCTGTTGTTTTACGCTGATAACTCAAAAACGGCCGCGATTTTTAACTCGCCGATTCTAGTACTCCTCCGGACATCAATTTCACTCAACTCCTGAAAAATGCGTCCTAGGTCACCCCGGGTCATGAGTTATGGGGGTCAAACTGAGGTCATGTTCGGACATTTTCCGTCTAAAAAATAAAAAAGTCGTTCACGGGAATAAATCACAAAATAGATTTTCAATCAAAAGACTCAAAAATCGCACATTAGGTACAAAATGCATGGCAAAGGAAACTGCTACCACAAAATTTCCGAAAAAGAAATATCAATATTTTGATATTTCTACACTCAAAACTCCTCCAGTTATTTTTTTTTAATTTAGGGAAGTTAAAAACGGAGCATATGTCGGAGAGATCCTTATTCCTTATTGCCTTTACAGGGTGTCTCAAAAAAGTGTCACGGTTTTGAACATCTCCCGTTTCGTAACCATACACATCCTAAAAATTAACAAAATATGTGTCTGTAAAACTGCCAGTGATATATGTAGTTATTTGAAAGACTAAAAAATAAAAAGCGTCTGTTCTTGTGACGTCCGATTTTTTCAGCACTTGTTAGGTACTGAAAGAAGTCTAGAGTAATATCTACGATACTTGCCCCTCTTTTCCTGACTAAATAGGTATCAACGTTTTGTCGTCTCTTTTACATGATAAGTCACTTTAATAAAATGCTTGTCATTATAAACTGCTACAATTTGACCTTGCTTGCCGTCCTGTGATGTCATAGGTCAAAGAAAAATGACGTCGGGGAGACGCGTCGAATAACTTATAAGTTGATCCGAAAAGGTCAACTTAAAAATTTGACCTCAGGTCAAGGTCACGGAAAAGGTCATGTTGCAAGTCATTCGATTCGTATTGTTAAGCCGAACACATTCCTGGTGTTTTCAGAAACTGTTTGAGACGGTTCGTGACCTGAGATGACCTCAGAGGCATTAAAGGGGGTCACAGGTGCAATTTTCCGGTTCATTGTGCCATGTTCATCTGTGTCCCGATGTTTGAGGGTATTTACGGCCAAAAGAAGCGGATTTCAATTTTCTTCCATTGACTAAAAGTCAATGGAGGGGTCACAAAATCGACCTGACCTTAGGTCACAGATATCAAAATTCCGAGAAATGCAAATTGTTCATACTGACAAGCTCATGCAATAGCATGAGTTTCAAACTTCTGGGATGTACGAATATACTTTAGAAATGACTGAATCACAAAGTTTAAAGAGGCATGATCACTTAACTTGGACTGTGACCTGACCTTATGTGACTCGGGATCGAAAATATTACTCACGATGTGAAATTGATGTATTATAAGCTATACCAAGTTTCGCAGCGCTGATCGCCGATTTTTTTTTTACACTCGCAAAAAAAAACTGGCAGGTGTGGCCAACGCTCCCCCCCCCCCCCCGACCCCCCACCCGTGCGAAGGTTAGAGTATGTATCATTATGCCGTTCATTCATGCACTTCGTCATTTACTGACATTATTTTTTTCTTATTTCAGACACGAACCAGGAGAAGTTGGACGCTTTTTAGAATTTCCTCTCGTACCGCTATAGTGTCATGGGTGGAGGGGAGCAAGGCTGCCATCTCCGAAGACAACACGCCTCTGAGTGTGCGCCTCCTAGTTTGTGCGGCAATGTTCCCCGTGTTCAATGAGAAAATTCAATGCCCCAGCGCTCTGAACTCCCAGCTAGTATTGACGCAATAGCTCTCCCAAATGTCGACCGGAAAGTCGTTAAAAAAATCGTTGCGACGATCGGCTCGACAAGCTGAAGACCGCGCCAGTGAATGTATGTGAAACGGCACCTCTACTCTCCCATCGCCAGGCCCAAAGACGTGTTGTTCATAGGTGTCTTTCACAATACTAGTGTTGCTGATCGCGGAGGACCACTGTCCACTGCTCGTCCGCCGTGGTGTTTCTTCTGATGAGGCTCAGAGCGCATGTGTATTGTTTACTGTGAACAATCTGTTGAAATATATAATGAGTAGATCTGTACTCTGAGACTTAATGAACTTGGCTAACGAGGATGTGTGTTAAAGCAAAACGAACTGTGTTACACGCCTCAATAATTATGTGGAATGAGTTGTATAAATGTATACTTCATGTCGATTTATTGCGGTTAAAGACGTTACCTCTGTTTAAACGCGGCTGGGCCTGTTACAGCCCCGTTTGCATCAAAGAAGGTACGCCTTTCATCGCAATAAGTCCACATGAATTATATATTCATATATTCATTCAACGTGATCATTGAATCGTGTAATGCAGCTCATTTTGCGTTAATATACATTCTAAAAGGAGGTACTGGACGGGAAGTATATGAACACGAACCGAGCTACGAAACACGTTACACGTTTATGGCGAGTTTACTAACATCTAATTTCCGGATATGTTAACACAAATAAGTTTATGTAGCCGATAATTATCCGAGCCCAGAAACACCAGTGGTGTTATTGAACACTTAACATCTTTAATGCGAGCTATTTTACACGTTATTCGATACGCTAGAAACATGTTGGCGAGTTATCGAACTCGGTAACACGTCTTTATCGAGTTACGGAACACCACTTTTTGGAAAGTCAAAACTCATACCGAGTTATGTAGCACGGATTTACCGTGTATGAGAAAACACGGTGGCGTGTTATGAGATACGGCTGTACCGAGTCGTTTTTGGCCATATAACACAAAACGTGCTATCATTTTTTACAGTGTACAGCCGCAGGAATTGTGGTCGCCTGCGAGCGCGAGTAGGGTACCGACGCCCCGCAGCCACCTGGTAGTCAGCCGTGTCGCCCAGCTCGCTCATGACCTCCGGACGGGCCACAGAGGAGGGTGGGCAGTGCACCAACACCCCCCGTGACACCTCTTCTTCATCTCGACGAACGGGACCAGGATCCTGAGTGGAGCGGTCCTCAGTTCCAACGTTCGAGCCGGAAGAGGAGCCGGCTACGGATGGGGCTGTCGGTACAGGCGGCGCGTCAGGAATCTGTTCCCGGTTTACACACTTTTTACAGCGGTTCAAGTGCACCACTTGCTCCCCACTTTGCATATTTAAGAGCACATTTGCACCACGTCTGCTGCTAACCAGGAATGGCCCATCATACACAGGGTCCAAAGAGGAGTTTCTAACCTCTTTGCGCAGATACACGTAATCACCCGCCCTAACATCGCTATCCTTCTTCCCCTGGTCGTAGTAAAACTTAGAAGAGGCATGTGCCGCTGAAGAGTTTTTCTTTGCCTGACTGTGCAGTTCTGTCAGCCTGAACTGTGTTTCCTCAGAGTGGGTTTCAGGGCTGAAGCTCTGCTCGGCGACTATGCCGTCCCTGGCCCGGCCGCCCCCCACCGGTGTCCGAACGCTCACGCCGAACATGAGTTCGTTGGGTTCATATTTTGTTGAGTTGCTAGGCAACGAGTTATAAATACTTCGCACTTCACTAAGCAAAGCAGGCCACTGATCTGTTACCATTTGTTGGCTTTGCAGCTTGCACCTCAAAAGCTGTTTCACAGTCTGGATAGTGCGTTCCGCGAGACCGTCCCCCTCTGGGTGGTACGGTGACGATCTCCGTTTCTCAATGCCGAAGGATTCGCACAGCTGGCTCATCATCTGACCATCTACATTTTTCCCTTGATCAGTAATGATGCGGAGTGGTGGCCCATGTCTGTGAATCCATTCGGACCTTACTGCGTTACATATGCTTTCTGCCGACTGGTCCTTGAGCGGAACGAGCTCAACGTAGCGGGAAAACATGTCTACGATGACCAGAAGGTAACGGCTGCCGTCTGGCGCCCTGGGCATGGTGGCTATGTCGAGGGCTATGCTTGACCGAGGTGACACATCGCCTGTTTCGTACTCTTGCATCGTCTGTTTGGGTGCATAAGTTCGTTTGCTCTTCTGACAGGTATCGCATGCCATGCACATGGTTTGTATGTATTTAAACATTCCGATCCAGAAATAGTGTTCCCGGATAAGCAAATATGTTTTGTGCACACCGGCATGGTGCACGGAGTGTTCCATTTCAAAAACTGTCCCACGCATGCTGTTTGGCACCACGATTTGTCCCTTACGTTTTAGGACGCCGTTCTCCAGCCTCATGCCACCATAAGATTTATATCGACCCTTAGTTACTTTGCCTTCGGTACGTAACTGATGAGCGGCATAGGCTACACTGAAAACCAAAACGATTCTCTATTCCCTTTGATCATGGTGTGTCATGCTCCTATAACTCTGCCGTTTTCCTGGCGGAATGCCCTTAAGATACTCAAATGATTCCTCAAATGATTCCTTTTAAGCATATCAGGGGTTTTGGTCTAAAACAACACCCTGATCATTTTCTTCGAACATACCCAAACTATACCCTCGTTCTTTAAATTCCTCCCTTGAATTCTTCTAATATACCCTAGTGTACAGTCTCTGCCGCTACTGTCAGATACCGTACCTGTGCCGCTCGGCGCCTCCGGCGGTGACCGGTCGGCGGGCCGGGACTGGCCGGCCGGGCGGGCGAGGAGGACGGGCAGTCGCTCCCTGGACGTGTTGCTGACCACTAACCCGCGCCCCGCTGGGCTATTCAGCCATACGCGCCCTGCTGGGGATAGAACCTTAACCCTCGTTTTGGATGTGTTACGATATATAAAGGGAAATCGGACGAGGGAGCTGAGAGTAATGAGACAGTTTCTGAGCAAGTTCTACGACGAATATACCTTATAGGGCATTATTATTTTCCCTTCTGGGTTTATGTGGGGTCTAATGCAAGAATACATTGAGATCAGTGATGGAAATCACAGAATAATACGGGAGTGTTACGTGGTATAATGCGAGTATAGTTTGCAAAATATTCCCCTTATACGCTTAGAAGGAATACTAGAGGTTTCGATGTAAGGGTATTTTGGTAGGTTAAAAGGAGTGTACTGTGGGTATCGCAGGGAATAGAACAGGAATCATATTCCTTTCCTCTTCGGTACTTACTATGGTATATGAGAAGAATTCAAGGGAGCTATTTAAAGAACAAGGGTATAGTTTGGGTATATTCGAAGAAATGATCAGGGTGTTGTTTTAGACCAAAACCCCTAATATGCTCAAAAGGAATCAAAAAGGTTCTCAGTGTAGGGTATATTAGAAGAATTTCAGAGTGATATTCAAAGAAAGTGTATTTGGGGTATATTCGGAGAAATGATCAGGGTGTTGTTTTAGACCAATTCCCCTAATATGCTTAAAAGGAATCAAAACAGCTCTCAGTGTATGCTAGAGTCCTCTTGCTGTCCTGCTTTGATGCTGTCGAGCGTGTTAGCACCTCTAACAGGATAAACATGTCTTTCAAAATGTTCGACATCATCGTTAACTACCCTGTCCACCTCCGAGGCGATCCTGCTGAGGAAGTCAGGCGCAGCGTGATCCTTGCCCTTGCGATACACCACAGTGTAGTTGAGACATTCCAGTTCGGCTATCCATCTCGCGAACTTCCGGCGTGGGTCTCGCTGTTGTCTTAACCAGGTGAGCGGATTGTGATCGCTTATGAGAATCACCTCCGGTGCTGCGCTCACATATACCTCCCACTTCCTAGTAGCGGATATCAGGGCCCAACATTCGATCTCAGATGCCGAGTAATTCCGCTGGGTAGCGGTGAGGCCAGATGAATAATAAGCGATCGGGCGAAGTCTCCCCGAGCTGTCTTCCTGTGAGAGAATGGCTCCCACACCGGACCCGGACCCGTCAACCTCTATAAAAAACGATTTGTCCCACTGCGGGAAGGCCAGCACCATTTCGGAGGTCAGGATGTCCCTTAGAGTGCAGAAACTCTTCTCACATTCTTCTGACCATGACCAGCGTGCGTTCGCGCCGGTGAGCGCATACAGCGGCGAGGCGATCTCAGCCATGCGGGGTATGAATGACCTGTAGTAGTTCAACATACCCAAGAACCTCTGAAGCTCTTTCTTGCTGGTCGGTCTAGCACAGTCTTGAATAGCTTCAACGTTCTCGGGAAGAGGGGAACACCCTTCAGCCGAGACGGTGTGTCCCAGGAATGCGCCGCTTCCGTAACCGAAGCGACACTTATCTGTTCGGAGCTGCAAGTTGGCGGACTGCAGGCGCTTCAGGGTTTGTTCCAAGTCCACAAGATGCTGTTTGAAGTCAGAAGAGTAACAACAGACGTCATCAATGTACGCTACTGTAGCTTCTACGCCCTTCAAAATGCTGTCGATCGTTCTCTGGTATGTGCTCTGGCTATTACATAGTCCAAAAGCCATGACGTTCATCTCATACTGGCCCCTCGGAACGGAAAACGCTGTCTTGTAGCGATCGCTTTCGTCCATTTCAATGCTCCAGTAGGCACTAGCGCAGTCCATGAAAGAAAATACCTTACTGTTATGCATCTTGTCAAAGAGGTCCTTTGCATTCGGGAGAGGGTACGCGTCTTTTTTCGTGACACTATTTAACTGTCTGTAATCGACTACAAACCGCTGTGTGCCGTCTCGTTTCCGCACTAAAATGACGCTACTGCTCCACGGCGAGTCTGACGGACGGCAAACGCCGTTGGCCAGCATCTCCCCGACCTGCCTGTTGATCTCTTGAGTATCGCTAGGGGACATCCGCCGCATCTTTTGTTTTACCGGCCTGGCGTCTCCTGTTTCAATTTTATGTTTGCCCATGTTGCATAAGGCCGGTTTTTTAGGGTTGGTCGCCCAGACAGAGCCATATGTTGAGAGCAGCTTGTGCATTCTCTGTTTCTCGTCATCCGATAGACGCGGATTTATGTCAAAAGCCTGGCTAGCGTCAATGTGGTCGTGCTGCTCCAAACGTGCCACATCAACCCTACCATTCACTTCTCCCCCGCTCAACATGATGCTAGTATCGTACCATGTTTCTCCCAGACGGATGCGATGACCGCCCCAGTCGAACTCTAGAGACGGAAACTTGCACAGAAAGGTACGCCCCAGTAGGATGGTCTCATCATACGAGTCAATCACCGTGAACTCTGACGCTTCGACCCGACCGTCAGCTAATGTCACAGACAAGTTCGCATGACCATATATGGGCACTTGTACGTTTCCTACCCCTAGTACATGCCTGTCTTTGGTTCGTCTAATCCTTCTGAGAAGGTTCAGCTTAAGAAGAGACCCCTTGTCAATCACGGAGGGCCCCGCGCCAGAATCTATCAGAGCAGAAGCATCGTGACCGTCTAGTTTAACAGGCAGGAGCACGGCGCAGCTTGTACTAGTCTGGCACGAGTCATCCGCTCGATTCACAAAATCCGTTTCCGCGCTCTGACTTACTTTTGAGGCAGTGCAGTGGAACAGATCATGTCCCTTTTCTCCGCAGCGTGGACATCTTTTTGCTGAGCACGATTTCATCAGATGGTTGCCTCCACAGATGTAACACTTGCCCTTGAATGTCCCTGTTGCCGATCGTGACTGTTGGTACTTCTTTCTTGACTCTTTGATGTCTACTCGAGCGACAGACTCATCAGCCAGCGGTGAGTCTGCTCCTGCTGACGTTGCACTCTGTGGACGCGACGTCGGGTGCTGGCTGAGCTCATTTCCGCCATTACAGGTGAGCACTCTCTGTGGCACTTCGGATGGAGGGCTGCATCCCGTTCCGTGAAACCCGATATCCAGTGGTATGCCGCGCTCAACCATCCATGCCTTCACATTGACCAGCAAACTTCTTGCGGATTCATCGGTCACGGTGTTTTCCGCCAAC